TGGCGGCCCAATGAGAATGGGCAGCGCCCGTCACAGCCGTTCGTCTTGACACCCGGCGGCGTGACTTGGGCTCTCGCCGGGCACGCCCTTACCCCGCGGCGGTTCATCTTTTTGGCCGGGTGCCAGTGTGCGGTGGCCGATGCGGGCGGGATCGCCAGGCACCGTCCAGGGACGAACGCACCGTCCCCGAACCTCTCTCATCGTCCAGGGGGTGGGCCACTCTCTCGCTCTCGCCCTCTCGCTCTCTCAACATGGTACGATGAGACCAAAGTGTTCTGACAACAACGGCCGGTCGTCACCACTTGTGGATTCCAGCAACGGGCCCCGCCGACGTCATCGCACAGCACCCTTTAGACCCGCTCGCACGATTCTTCGCCTTGCTTTTTTGCTTATCATGCAGGGAGGAACGGGGGGGTTCGTCGTCTCTAGGTACAGTTTATACACAGCAGTTGTGCACGACTACTACTCGCCCCGCCCCATCATCATCCCCTCCCCTCCGTATTCTTGCAGTAGCGCCCGTCGCGACCGACGAATCACACGGCCCACACGCCAGGGGAGGGAAAGAGGATGAACTCCACCACCTACCAAACAACTCATCGCGCCCCACAGGGACCGCTGCTGCGGCAGCGCGCGTGAACGAGGAATCGAAAGAAAAAAATCAAGGTTATGCACTACCCAACGCACGGAACACCACCACTTTTCTCACTGCCCTTCCGCCGCGCGCGCACGAGCGCCAAACATGCGGGAACGGCGTCGTGGTTGGTGGAGGAGGGGGGGTGGATAGACCGGTCAACCAACGGCGACACAGACCGCCATTTCGTACGTGCTCGGTCGGTACGTATTTGTTTTTAGCTTGCTCCACACACACACCATCACGCCTTTTTTTTTTTGCGGAGACACCCCTCACCGGTTGGCCTCCTGCATCCTTCCAGAAGGCAGATTTTTCGCCTTCTGGAAACCTTCCACGCCTTCCACGCCTTCCATCCGGCCTTCCATGCCGGGATCCCGACGCTTCCGTGCCAGGTTTTTTGCCTTTTTCTCCTGGCCGATCGTGTCGTGTCGTGCTGGACTTGTGGGCTCCCCCCCGGTTTCGGCTGCGCCCGAGGTATGTTGGGCGTAGTGCTTATGCACGACAGAGGGGAGTGATGGATGCGTCGGTTTCTGGCAGGACGCGCGAGACGCTTTGGCCAGAGGACGGGTGTTTGTTTTTGTTTTTGTTCTTGTGTTTTTTTTGGATGCCCGTGGCTGGGTGGATGGCTGTGATGGCTGTGGGGAGTGTGCCCGCGCGCGCGCGTTGGCCGCTCACGCCTGGCGAGTGGGGTTTCGGGTCGTGGATGTGGTGTGGTTGGTGTGATTGATAGAATGGTGAGGAGATTGGTGGGTGAGGATGGCCTGGTTGGTGGTGGTGGTGGTGGTGGTGGCTGAGGGCGGTTGCGTGTGTGTCAGCAGCGGATGGACGTGGCTGTGGCTGGCTGGCTGTGCTTGTGCTTGTGCGCGTCTTTGCACCACGCCCACGTGGCGGGGGCTGGAATTTGTCGACGTCTGTTGCTGACAGGATTAGGGATTGTGGCAGTGATTCTTCGCGCTCTACCGTCTTCGGACTGGTGTAGTAGAATACCAATTACCAACACCCAACGTCTACTTGCTTCTTCGTGGTGTGGTCAATCCGGGACCGAGATATCCACGAACACTTAAGTGATACATCATCGCACCATATCTGGTGATGCTCGTCAGTGTCGAGAGCTGTTGATGGTCAGACTTTTTAGGGGCATTTTGATGCCGTACAACACACCAAGGAACTGGTGGTGAGAGATCTCGCCTCCACGTGGAGAACGGAAATCTCCCACTGCGGTCGAAAAGGTGCGGCCACGAACCGGACAATAGTAGGCTCTCTGATTACTTTCTATCGATAGCCAACTCTCGGACCCGCGACCAGTTTCCAGACACTGATGCGGAAGAGAACAGGCGTTTCTGTGGAGTCGCTCGCACAGCACAACCCTCTGACTGTTCGTACACAACTTGGTGCACAATTGACTGTGTCGGCTTTGCGAGGCACACTTAAGCGGCGCTTATGGCTGTCCTCGGGAAGACATCTTCAACGACAAAGCCTTCACTTCGATGCTGCGTCTCTTGTGGGGTGACCCCGCGCCTGTTGCACATCAGCCGCTGTGCCCCAACAATACTGATCATGGCTGCTCTGCAAGATCTCTGTATGGTGATGGAGACCTCTGACAAATGGAGAAGGTTGACCGTAGTCATGGATTGGTAAGTCCTGTCAAGAGAAGCACGGAAGCTCCGCGCATCTGCGTCAGAGTTCATACTTCAACTACCCTTATTGTCTGAGGGGTGGACGTGCTGGTGGATGCCCTGATGAACCGCACCGACTGAGATAGAGATAATGAATGCATCAATGTATCAGGTTTAAGATTCTGCGTGAGAATAATGCAGTGTCTTTGGCGGGCCCAAATCGTTTGTCACCTTCTGTGCCGCTCCTGTAGCTCCTCAACCTTCTTCTCCTGTACTGTGACTTATGATTCGTCCCAGGGCGGTCTTGCCGCTATAACATTGAGCATCGGTGGGAACGCAATTGTCGGGAAGAAGCCGAACAATCTCCTTCGGGTCTCAGCTAGAACGAGAAAGCCCCTCGCAGATTTTGACTATTAAGGTGGGACGCCATCTTCCGTTACCAAGGTTCAAACCAGCTCCATGGTTCAAAGGTGTCTGACAATTCCCGGATCGCCGAGTTCACAAGCAGCCTCCAGAGCGGTCCGATAGAGACCGCCTTTAACATTGACATCAGTCCCGTTGTTGACTGGGATGCGGACGATACTTTCATGGCCATGGTTCTCTAAAGAATGGCTTTCCTTGGGGTTCTAATTCGATGTAGGTCAGAAACTTCCGACTGGAAGCATAAGCTTGTCCTTCAGTACTTGGTTGGCAAGACCGACCTAATGACCGTCTAAAAATAAATTCCGCAAAGGATGTAGGACTATCCTCGGTCTAGGATACTGGATAGGCAAGGCACACTTCTACTATATTCATCTTGGACGAAACAAAGTTTAAAACCGATAGTGTAGATGGTGTTGGCCTAGACGGCAGCCAATTAATGTAGGCGTAATCCTCGAAGATCCACGCGAGCTGTTGTGGTCATAGCCGGAATGAAATAGAAAGGGACGAAAAATGTAAAGCCCTAAAGCGAAAGAAAACAGACGCAGACCGACGATGCATTAGCATGATAACCTTCAGCACAAACGCTAGATAATGATGCTTAGCAGATATTCATGATGCTCGAAATGTCTCCCAATGCCTGGTGCACTTGATTGATGCGAGACATTTTTCCAGTGCACATAGCAAAACAAAACAGGACCGGAAGCACCAGTGAACCCGTGGTTGGTAATTTTTGGAGTACTTGACTCAAGGTTGAGATACAAGAGCAGAAGCAAAGAGTCAAATAGGAGTAAATCGAGGAAACGGGAAGTATTTATATTAAGTGGAAGGGTGAAACATGAACGCGAGTGGCAGCTGGAGCCCGGCAAAATTATCAGCCCGTGTGACTCAAGCTCTGGGGGTAGTGGTTTGAATTCGGCACGTGCGGTTGCAAGATAGTATGTACAACAACTCAGTGACTTCATCAAAGCGGATATCACAGGTCTCTTTTCTATATGTTGTTTCAAGGAGTGTATGCTTGAATATTGCCACGCTAACTCGCTGGGAACTGTTCTGCATCCCGGATCCAATAAATTCACGAGCGCTTCACTGGCGTTGGTCCATGGAGAGTTCCACTGTCGGCTGCCGCACGTCTTACGGAGCCCCTGTCGGGCGATGCTCCTTGAAAGTTGTTGATGAGTGTCCGCAGCGGATAAACGCGATGCGGCTCTGCAACAAAAGACATGCACACTGGAAATCACTCCATAGCCTTGATGTGTCGCAGGAAAGAGATATGGAAATCCCCAAAGCAAAAAGAGTTTCCCGTTCGCAATACATCCTCCCACAAGTGATGCAAGCTAGCGCGTAGTTTCGAAGCTCAAGAAACACAATGACGTGCCAATGGAGAAGAGTCTCGCAAGCCCAAACAAGGCGCTTTAAATCCCCGCTACACGCTTCCCCACAATCGCCTGCGACCAGTCCCACCAAAGCAGCAGATCACGCACACACACCGCCGCATGGACCTCACCGCGTGGTACTTGCTCATCGCCTCTTCCTGAACAGCGTCCATAAAAGACGCTTGACCCGAGAGCGCCGAAAAGATTATCACACACCAAGATCTGGATGATTACCCAAACCATCCAATTCGTACGACTTGCTCCTTCCTCGTCGCATGTGCACAGCACATCTTACACCCAATGAGCGTCAACCGAGACACAGTTGCATGTTGCTTGTGGAGCGCTCCAGCGGACTCGCGTAATGCTGCTGAGCTGCACCTCAGCAAGATGCGGGTCTGCCGCATCAAGCGACGACGGTGAGCAGCGGAGATGATGTTGTTACGAGTGTTCTCGGTAGCTGCCGCAGATACGCAGGCAAAGACGGCGACAAAAGTAAGTGGATGGCTCGATTTACGTGAGTTACCATAATGGGGAATGTGCATTCCTTGTGGAACTTGCGGCCCTAGAAATTGACAGTCCATCTTTTCTTTTATAATAGACAGAAGGCACCAATAGCCTCCAACATGCCAGCAGGACAAGACCTCACGTGATACAATCAAATGCCGCAACGAGTCTTAGAAATCTGCACAAGATCGAACACGACACCTACCTCCTCATGACCCCCCAAGCAGACGTAATCCGCCCGCCCGTCCGCCCGTCCGTCCATCCGTCCATCGATCCAACAAAACAACCGCTTTTCCACCCCCTCCCCTCCCCTCCCCTC